ATAATTATCTGACTGGAAGAATACCTCCTCATCTTTGTCAACTTTCAAACCTGATTTTGCTGAATCTGGATTCTAACAGGTTATATGGAAATATCCCGACCGGGGTCCTGAACTGCCAAACATTGGTACAACTTCGTCTTGTTGGAAATAATTTTACAGGTGGCTTTCCTTCAGAGTTGTGCAAATTGGCGAACCTTTCTGCTATTGAACTGGACCAGAACAGGTTTACTGGTCCGGTTCCACCAGAGATTGGAAACTGCCAAAGGTTGCAAAGACTTCATATTGCAAACAATTACTTTACTTCGGAGTTGCCGAAGGAAATAGGTAATCTGTCTCAACTTGTGACTTTTAATGCATCATCAAATTTTCTCACGGGAAGGATTCCACTCGAAGTTGTTAACTGCAAGATGCTCCAACGACTTGATCTTAGCCACAACAGCTTTTCTGATGCTTTACCAGATGGGCTTGGAACTCTTCATCAACTGGAGCTTCTCAGGCTTTCAGAAAATAAATTCTCCGGGAATATACCTCCGGCATTAGGAAATCTCTCCCATTTGACTGAATTGCAGATGGGCGGCAACTCATTTTCTGGTCAAATTCCTCCAGCTTTGGGCTCGCTTTCAAGCTTGCAGATTGCAATGAATCTCAGTTATAACAATCTTACTGGCAGCATACCACCAGAGCTTGGTAATCTTAATTTACTGGAATTTCTCCTCCTCAATAACAACCATTTGAATGGTGAGATTCCCAAAACATTTGAAAATCTGTCGAGTTTACTGGGATGCAACTTCTCATACAATGAACTCACTGGACCTTTGCCTTCCATACCACTATTTCAGAACATGGCCACCAGCAGCTTTCGTGGAAACAAAGGGCTTTGTGGTGAGCCTCTTGGCTACTGCAGTGGAGATCCATATTCTGGTTCTGTTGTACAAAGAAATTTGGATGCTCCTCGAGGTAGGATCATCACAATTGTTGCAGCCATTGTTGGTGGGGTTTCTCTCGTTCTGATTATAGTGATACTGTATTTCATGAGACGTCCCCCTGAGACAGCTCCTTCCATACATGATCAGGAGAATCCATCTGCAGAATCAGATATCTACTTTCCTCTAAAGGACGGATTAACTTTCCAAGATCTAGTTGATGCCACCAACAATTTTCATGATAGCTATGTTCTTGGAAGGGGAGCTTGTGGAACAGTCTATAAGGCAGTTATGCGTTCTGGGAAGATCATTGCTGTGAAAAAGCTTGCATCCAACAGGGAGGGGAGTGACATTGAGAATAGTTTTCGGGCTGAGATTCTGACTCTCGGAAAGATTAGGCACCGAAACATAGTGAAACTTTATGGGTTTTGCTACCATGAAGGTTCGAATCTGCTTCTTTACGAGTACATGGCTAGGGGTAGCTTGGGAGAACTGCTTCATGAGCCTTCTTGTGGCTTGGAATGGTCCACTCGGTTCATGGTCGCTCTTGGAGCTGCTGAAGGGCTTGCTTATTTACATCATGACTGCAAACCAAGAATTATTCACCGTGATATAAAGTCGAATAATATTCTACTTGATGATAACTTTGAAGCCCATGTCGGTGATTTTGGTTTGGCGAAAGTTATTGACATGCCACAGTCCAAATCAATGTCAGCTGTTGCAGGATCATATGGGTATATTGCACCAGGTGAGCCTTCCTCGTTAGATTCAATAAAATTATCGTGCTTCTGTTTGTGATAATTTTATTCCTTATCAAGGTCGTATAATAATTTATTTTCTTTATATTTCTTTGCTGCTGAATTCACTCGGGCACTTTGAACATGGTAGATAGTTTGGTGAGATGAAAGTGTGAAGAAAACTTTAATTTCCACTGTAATATGATTTTAATTGCCATATGCTTAAAATAGTCAATGAGTAACATAGTCGAATTCATTGGATATTTAGGTTAGGGATAAAGTAATAGTGCATTGTGTATATAAATAGTGCTTCTTCTTTTTTTTCATTTTGGGCATTCAACTTTATTTCTTTGCAATCTTGTCCTTTCAAACTGGCCAAGCGTAGACTTTTTATTTTCTTTCTATTTTCTCATTATTTTTATTTATTCAAATTTTAATTAATAGCCTCTCTTTTGTTTTTTAAATTGTTTAGTTCATTTATTTTTAAATAATAATTAATTTTTTAATTACATAGTACTTAAGAAAAAATTGTTATAATTTATCTTTAAATTCTTCCTCTTATATTTTATATAAATAAGTTGTATTTCCATAACACATTAATAAAAACAAAAATTATTTGTTATTAGCAACTTGAATTAACCTTTAAGATAAAATAAATAAAAATGTATAAAATAAAAAAGATAGCCATCTATCTTCTGTTTTTTCTAGGGAGACTAGCTCCCTTATTTAATTAGTGTTAATAAATGGTTTTTGATTTGTTAGTCCATATATTTTAAAAAAATTAGTTTACAAAGTGTAAACACCATCCTTCCATTTCCTTAATTAATAAAATTATGATATCTAAAAACACATCCATAACACGGACACATTCATCTTTTATGTTAAAAATTAACTTGGAATCCTATCCACAACGGAAGTGCGAGTTATAGGAATGGCTCCTGCTAAATTTATGTGCTTGCAACTTATCTGTGGTTTCCATCGCATTGCAGAATATGCTTACACCATGAAGGTTACGGAAAAATGTGACATCTATAGTTATGGAGTTGTTCTTTTGGAATTGCTAACCGGAAAAACTCCAGTACAGCCACTAGATCAAGGAGGTGATCTTGTCACGTGGTCAAGACAATATGTTCGGGAGCATTCATTGACATCTGGGATACTTGATGAACGATTGGACCTTGAAGACCAAAGCACTGTTGCTCACATGATATATGTCTTGAAAATTGCTCTACTCTGCACAAGTATGTCGCCTTCTGATCGGCCATCAATGCGGGAAGTTGTGTTGATGCTTATCGAGTCTAATGAGAGAGAAGGTAATCTTACCCTGTCGTCGACTTATGTTTTTCCGTTGAAAGATGATGCTTCAGGAAAATAGGTGACCGTTTCCCAGATTTTATTAACACATGATTTTTTTTTTGTGCTTATTCTTGCTCGTATTATTGGCAACAGCAAACGATACATCATGTACACTTTCTGATAAGAAAAGATCATGAAATGGCTTATAATCCACGTTACTCTCAAATTCTGTATTTCGTCTTGCAATTAGTACAGTTGCGACAATCCTGTACAGGTAGAAGCTCCCCCCCATACATGTATTTTACAGATTCTGATGTGATAAATTACTCATCGGGCTCCAGTTCCTGTTATTTCTGAAACGTCTTACAATATTGTAGCTACTGTTTTTCTCTTATCTCGTTTTATTTTAATTTATTTACATAACTTGCTGCTGGTGTTGGTTGCTATGGTGAGATCGTGATGTCCCTTTCGAAAAGGGTTTCTCCCGCATGAACTAAAATTGGAAGAGTTGAAAAAATGTAGAGCAGTCCTTGTAATCGTGCTGTAATGCCAAACGTGAGTTGGAGTCGATGAATCGAATTTCCTGTTTGAATAAAAAACTACAAAAACACTCGTCTAAATGAAACATAAGTAGTGGAGATGTCAAGGGAAAAAGAGGTTGGAAATTTACTCGGGCCATGGGTTTCGAAGTTAAATTCTCATGAATCATCTGATAAATGATACAAGCATCGTTCTTACAGGCAGTCAAAGACGTGAACTTAGTCTAAAAAACTGACTTGAGTGCATGTTAATTTTAAAGCTAACCTAGTAAAAACATTTCTGAAGTTAAAATCATTTGAGAATTAGTTTTTATACTCCCATGATCTCCCTCTTATATATATATATATATGAAATCGGGTTCTTTATAACTTTTTTTCAATATTTTCCCTAAATTTGTTGTATAAACTAATGAAATGATTTAAATACTTTCAACTTCTCATAATCATTTTTAACCTAACTGAGTAAATTTGTTTTATTTTTCTCATATAATTAATTTTTAAAATAAAATTTAATACCACAACTTTAATTTTCCATTCAGAAATTTTGGTTTTAAATTAAAAGAAAAAAGAGATTTTAAGGTTAGAAGTGTATCCTATTTTAAAAGGATAGAAACTCAGACTAAAATCATTTTAGAAATAAATTTATTTTATGTCTTTATTCTTTATTCTTTAACTAAACATATGGATGTCTTTTCCGTCGAAAGAGATTAACCAAACACAATCTTTAAGTAGAGCATTTAGAAATTATATATATTGGGATGGAAAAAATAAAGATAATTGATAGAAGTATATGAATTTATTTAAAAACTATATATAGCAAAACCGGATTTATCTAAATGTCTTTGATTCCGTTTCCCAATCAAAAACATTTCAATTAATCCTATTATGAGATACTAACAAAATCCAACCCTAATTTTTTTTTTTTTTGCTGCAGGTAGTGTGAATGAATTGGGGAAAAAAAGTAATCCACATGGTATGACTTATTTTTTGAAGAATGTAAAATGATAATTTTTATTATTGAATTGTTAAAAGAATATTCTTCGTTTTCGTTTGTTAGCTTAATTAGGTGCGGGCACTGTGATGAATAGTGTAGAGTTTTTACTTGTGTGGGTGATACATGAACATGGCCTCTACATGGATTTTAAGCTTGGTTTTCACAGATATTTCTTAAAATTAAGTTGGCGCATTTATTTTTTGCCCTCAACGAATCCTTGCAGGAGCTGTATAACATAACTATGATGCTTTCTAGGTAAAACTTGAAGGGACCATAGCCCCTCAAATCTCTGTTGCCCTCCCAATTCCGACCCCTTTCACAGAAAAAAATATCTCAATTTATCTGTAGATTTGCAGGAAGAGACGGCAAAAGAAAAACACATAAAATGGGTACGCAGGAAAGAAAACAAAATTAGCAGTCAAGCAAGCAAATATATATTACTGCAGCATCTTCCTTATTATTGATACTTTTTGTTAGATACTTTATCCAACTGGAGAACTTCCATTATCTTTTACCACTGGTACTCCCGAATCCATCGGGAGTCTCCTCTGCTAAAATAGAACCCGTCCTCCCTGACCGACCACATGCAATGTTTTCTGCATCTATTCTCGTCTCTCTTTGCATAAAATGCATCGATGTAAGTTTGCTTTCCATTCCATTGCATATTGCAAAAAAACAACCTTCTTCTGAAGAAGTCAATAGATGCTTTAAAGCGAAACACCTGTTTCTGAGACAGATACTTGATTCCGAGGTCTTTGGTTTTGTCCTTGCAGTGAACCATCAATGTCTTCGAGGGGTCACCAGGCAAGTCATTAGTGATGTAAATATGGTACCAAACCCAGAGAAAATCCTCATCAGCAGCAGCAAATGATGATTGACTGGATATGACATAAAAGGCTGCAAGAACAAGCAGAAAATGGTGCATAGCATTCATCTTGCGAAAGCAGTAATTAAGGGTGATATGTTTTTTCGTGCCCTATGACTTCCCCCATTTATACTAAGCACAAGGCCGAGACGAGTAACGGCTCAGCTTCAGTTGCTGCTAACGTTTTCATTAATTATTTGGTCATCTGAATTGAAATTGCTTAGGCTGTCCTGGATTCTCTATTCAATACTGTCTACGTCACACCATCATACTGGATTCTCAACTGCATTTTAACTCATTTAATTTTATCCCAATTTTGTTTCCCGGCTGCATTTACTCATTAACTTTATCCCAGTTCTAATTTCTTTGTTGAGGATCGCTGTTGTTTTTGACAAGTGTCCCATACTACTTCAAAGGCATCGTGACTTTGAGGCGCTTTGGCAGTGTTTAATTTCATCCGTTTCAGTTTGAAAGATAATTTGATCATGTCATACTTCAGAAAAAAACAAATCACAGGTCAAATTTTCAAAAACCTGATTGAATCTTGATGGTCTAATTTGGTGATTAAATTGTACAGATACTACTTTTATATTTTATATATGGGAAAAAAGAAAAAAAAAATTGAACTCTTTCGGAGAACGTGTATTTTTTTGCTTGAAAATAATATATACACGGAGAGAGGCTCTCAGTTTCGAATACGAAAAGGGAATCCTGAAATAAAGATCCGATTGCAAACAAATTTTAAGACAAAGGGAGTAAATTGAATTACTTGAAAAGTAAAGGGACTTTAATATTGTATATAATAGCTTAGAAAAATTTGAGAAAAAAACTAAAACACGTTGGTGCTTCCTGTAGCACAAATTAAGTGTTCGTCGTCTCATATTTTACTATAAATAGTTTTTTATAAAAAAATTAATTTAGTTCTTATATTTTTAAAATAATAAATATTCACATTTTAATATTTTCTTGATTAAATTTTGATATAAAAATTTATTTTTATTATTTTCTAGTTCTTAATTTGAAAAAAAACAGAGTAGTTGTCGGATTTCAGAGTTAAGAGAGAAAAAACTAAAGCATTATTGTGGTCGAATTCTTGAAAAATTAGACAACATATCATTTAATTCTTTATTTTTCAAAAATAATTAGAACAAATAACATGTTGTCCACCCTAAATAGAACAAAACAAAAAGAATTCAAAAGTTAAAGCCCTAATAAAAAGGACCAGGGGTGCTGACCTATCTTGTTAGGTCCATCAACACCTGATCTTTTTTTTTTCTTTTCTTTTATTTATATATATTTTTAAACTAATACTATTTTTATATTTTTTTTCAATTTATATTTATATTAATAACAATCCTCTCTTTTATTTTGTTTATAGAGCCTCTTTAAAATGATTTTTTTTTAATCTTGTTTGAATTTAGATTTTTCTGATTCATCTATAATCTTGTTTTAATCTTTTACATAGATGAACTTTATTTTTAAAAATAAAAAATATATATTTAAATAATATTTATAATATGTATAGCCTTACCTGATTTTTTTTTATTTTATTCGGTCAATTTAATGTGTGTGTATATTTCTATTATTATTTGATTGGATTACAAAAATTATTTTAATCAACAAATTTAGCAAACACAACTGGATAAAAGTCTTGTTTTGAGAGATTAAATATCTTGATTTATAACTATCTCTTGATTTTTTTTGTTTTTTGTTATCGTTTATGATCCTTTTCTTTCATTTATTAACATATATATAATTTTCAATTTATTTAATTACATATATAAATAAAAATTTTATTTTCATTTGAATTCTTGTAACTACAAAAACATGTTGAAAAAACCTAAATGATTCGTGCTTAAAAGTGTATTTTTATCCAGGTTTTATATCATCATTTTGCACTTGAAGTATCAATAATTCCTTAACTGAAACATGTTTTATAATAACATATCTAATAATATAAGATATGTTTAATTTGTGGTAAATGTTCATTTTAAATACAGGCCTATCATATAAATGAAAAGATTGATTGATGAGTTTAAAAACTGAAATTGAAAGGATAAAAAGATGGTCAAACTTAAAAAAAAAAAGATGCTGGTGCTGTCTAGACCGGAATATTGTTCGGTAATTGGGTCATATCTAGAGCTGTAGATCTCAAATTTAGATCTATTTTATATGGATGAAAATGTAAGATATATGCCTACAACTTTCATAGGAGCTCAAGTTTAAAAAGACAATTTTAAATCCAAATTATAGTAACAACGAAAAAGTCCGAATTTGTCCTGCAGCTCGAACATTGTTAAGTATTTAACCCATATTTGGAGTTCTAGAAGTCCACATTACCTCTATTTTTTTTCTGGAAAGCTGATACAATTTCCTACAACTTTCATGTTTTCAAGTGATTTTAATTCTAACGTTATCAATGACGTTTTGGACAGACAAGAGTAGATAAAGATTGTCACTAAGTCAAGGATTGACCGCCCACTCATCAATTAGTTATCAAATCAATATTTTCTAATTTTGGCTTATAAAATAAGGCATTTGTCATGCATTTAGGTATCTTTGTCTCCAGATCAAGATCATGTTTTTGCTTTCTCTCTTTGTATTTTTGTAATGCTTAAGTGTTATTTTCATTAACATCTTATTTATGCTTTTCATTTCCTTTTATTTACTTAGTTAACTTTTATTTTATTTATGTTCTTATCTTGTTTATTTATTTATGTTTTTCCCTTTCATTATGTTTAGTTAAATTTATTATGTCAAGGTGAAAAGGATACACTAATGGTGTAAGAATAAGTATAGTGTGAACTTAACATGAACTTTAATATTTGATACTAACATGTTTTATATTTGTTATCTTGTTCACTCTTTAATACTTTACTTATTAAATGACTAATCTAGATTTATGTTATATAACACTTGATATAACAAATGCTTGGCACTTTCATAGCACAAACTATATGATATAACCTACACATATGCTATGAAAGGAACTTGATTTGTTGTTAACATAAGTTATGATCATGCATACTTGACAACATTTACAAGTATTAGCATTATTCGAATAAGATAATTAATGTAATCATGTTAATAATTTATAATCTGATTGGAACCTTTTTTGTGTGTGGTTTTCAATTGAATAATAAGAGTTTATACTATACTTGTTTGACATACCATTAGTGGATCCTTTAACCTTAACATTTGTTGTTATCATTATTTAATATTTACGTTAATCTTCCATCTCAAAGTTTTCAACAACTTATTTTTCTTCTATTATTATTATTATTATTATTATTATTATTAGTAGTAGTAGTAGTAGTAATAGTAGTATTAATATTAGTATTAGTATTATTATTAGTATTATTGTTATTATTATATTATTGTTGTTTATAATTTATACAATTAACCTCCCTGTGGTTCGATCAAGGTCTTGCCGAGTTATTTATTACTTCGACACTCCAGCACTTGAAAGAAGACATCAATTTTTGATGATATCACTATGTATATAATTTTTCTTGTTAGAAAAATATATCTTTATTTAAAATAATTTTTGTATTTGATATTGTTATCCCATATCATTAAAGAAGGCAACACTACAAAACTATATTGGTGATGAGACAAAGGGACATGATAGGGTCGAAAGACATTCTGAATATTTGTTAATAAACTAAAAGCATCATATAATAAAATAAGTTAAAGAACTACAATATTGATTAGAAAAATAAAAGTATTAAGTTATCATTGCATTTAAAATGAAAGGACTAAATTTACCTTACACCCATTTATAATTATTATTAACAATATACTAAAACGCGTGAGGAAAGCACTATAGCTTCCCCACGCCTTTTAATAATACTTATATATAATAATAATAATAATAATAATATAATTATGATTATTATAATAATTATTATATTATTATCTGATATTATAATTATATTTTTTTTTGTTTTCATTTTTTTTTGTTTTTTATGCCTTTATGAGTTTTTTTTTTTTGCTTTTTTCTTTGTTGTTTTTCCTTTTAATAAATTTTTTTGTTTTGTTTAGTTTGTTAATGAATCTCGAGTTTAATGGGTTAACCTGATATGATGATTTAACCTGAAATTTTATTTTTTTCTTTTTAATTAATTTTTTCATTTAGTTTAGTTTGTTAATATTAAATTTCTTTCTATTTAATTATCATACTTTCATGATACGTATCCCAAACTTGAAAAGTTAACCTAATTAATTATGGGTTAACCTGTCAAAATTTTTTTTATTTAGTTATCAAACTTTCATGGCGTGAATTTAAGGTTTGACGGGTTAACCTGATTTGAAGGGTTAACCAGTTAATTTAGATTTTTTTTACTATTTTTTTCTATTATTTTTTTAATTAATCTATTTAATTATCATACTTTTATGTCATGATATTGCAGCCAGACCCACATCCAAGGCTCTTGGATCCAGTGTTGCAACCAAACTCACTTAAACTTGAGTCATGTAAGTTTAGTATTATTATAAATATTATAAATATTACTCTTGGATCAAGCATTGCAGCTACACTAAAGGCTCTTGGATATATTTTTGTAAAAATACATAACACTCTTAAATCTTAGTATTTTCTGATATTTTTTATGCAAAAAAAAAAAAACTCATGATGTATGTCTTTGTTTTTTTTTCTTTTCCTTTTAAAGTCTTTTACTGTAGATTGCACAGTGCAATCCACAATGAAAAAACTAATGTTTTTAGTTTTTTTCTTTCTTAGTTTTTGTTTTGTATTTATTCTTCTAATTTAGTTTCTTAATATTAAATTTTTTCTATTTAATTATTAGATTTTCATGACACAAATTCCAGGTTTGACCGATAAACTCGATTGATTAAGATTGTTTTTCTTTTTTCTCATTACTTTTGTTCTTCCAATTTTATCTTTTAAGATTGTATACAATTTACGGTGAAAAGGTCGATGCTTTCATTTTTTTTTTCTTTTTATGTCTTTCACTGTGGACTGCACAGTACAATCCACGATGAAAAGGTTGATGTTTTTTTTTTTTTAATTAAAATTTATTATTTAGTTTGTTGATATTAAATTTTTT